GTTGGATATTGTGATTTTGAAAAAGAACCACTAATGTCCGGGGGGGGGTTGAGGTCGGGGGGGAGAGGGGGGGGGGGGGCGATAAATTGGCTGCAATCCCAGGGAAATTATGACGACCTATTTCAAATTCAAAGTGAGTTCATAGTATGAATGTTAGTTAAGCTGCTTCTCAAATTAATGCAAATCAAATTTCATTGAGGATGTTTTTGTTTTGCATTATAGACGCACATATGCTAAATATATTCCTGAGCTTCAGCTAAAAACCAGAACAAAACAAAAAACAAATCCTGTTTGGATTATTAGACTCATTTTTTTTTTTTTAATGTTAAGACAGAAACTGTGTCTCATGTAGGGTTGCTACTAAACAATGCTAAATTTACAATATTTTCAAGATTAAAAAATAGCTCAGAAATACTAAGCTATAATTTATGCAAAAATGCTAACTAAACACCACCTGTAACAATTTGTGGCATCTCTTGTAAAGATGCCTAAAAGATATGTAAAATAATTTATTTTATTGCAACAGCATAATTCTTTTTTACATCCACCATTATTGTGCGTTTCAACAAAATCCAAATGTTATGACCCCACAGAGAAATATTTGATCAAATACAAAATCCTTCTTCTACGGCCTGCTCGATCCCAGATGTGAGTCGAAGAGAAGAAAGTAAAAGAAAGGATCCAATACTCTGAATCTCTGTGATCTAGTAAGACTGTGCAGAGGAATGATCCCTTCTCTGTGTGCTCCAGTCTTAAGGAAAGTTACAGGAAAGTGCTTCTATTAATAAACGGAGAGGATTAGCAGTGGTGGCGATGGCAGTTGCAGCAATGAATTTCTGAGATTTGCTTTCCCACTAAATAGATGTACTCATGTCAAATGCTGGATTTCAGTAAGAAAAAGAGAGAGAGTTTATTCTACTGCAACAAAAGAACATTTTATACTTGAAGATTTACTAAACATCTCTAGCATTGTGGTCTCTTCTAGCCCAATAACCTGCACTTAAGTTTAAAGGTTTGTTCAGCCCAGCGTTCAGCAGCTCCCACTGACACCGAGACTGGCAGACTGTAGCATAGCCTTCATTCCTCTTTGTTTTATTTGAACAGAAAAAAAAAAAAAATCACACACCTGACTTTTAAAACTTAAGTTTTAATGTGTCTGAATAGCACCTGGAAGCCTTGTGAAAGGCACTGGCAGATCTCATGCTTTTACATTCGGGGGAAAGTCTGACACAAGGGATTTGCTCTTAAAACGGAGCACAGAGAGGATGAAGGGTGGTATAAAAATCAATGAGGCTTTTCAAAGGTAACATGAAAACCGAGCGCCTTAGTCTGCAATTAAAAAACATACTACTGCCGGTGCTGGAGAGATGACAGAGTGTGTTGCACATGCCCTCGACTCCGTGGGATCAATTCCGGGATCAATACTCAGACATGATACAATTCCATAATGGAAACAGGGACATGGAGAGGAGGTGTCGTGTGTTTTCAGATATTTACAATTGTGCAGCTCTGTCTGTTTCTGAGGGATAACAGAAACCCAGCTCTAGACATAACAGATCCTCCAGGTTGAAACCTCACTTTAAATGTTTTGGCTACGTTTAGGACTGCTAAAACAGGCTCCCGGTCCAGGAGAGGGGAGCGGGGGGTTGTGGACCCACAGAGTCTCACAAGATAAAGTTGAGACATGACAAGGATGGGAAAGATTAAATAAAGTTTTCAAATCAAAACTTTGATATTTTTTTTGTTATCTGATCGTCTGATGTGCTATGAAAGTTTGGCTTCAGCTTAAAAAAAAAAAAATCAAGCAGGAAATGATTAAATGACACATAAACATCCAGAGAAGACATTTGCTTAGCTCTGGTCAGTGTGGAAGTGGAGTTCAGCCCGTAAATGAGATCCCGCAAAAACCCCCAAGTTCTGGAGCCAAAACTGTTTGACTGGATGTGAAGTTGAGATCTGCTGTCTGTGGGGACAAACTTCATCTCATCCATTCATAGGAAAGGGTTTGGTTCAGTTCAGCACATATTTGTTTAGTCTGAAGATTATAACAGAGATGATAGCTACAAAAAAATTAACATTATGTAACTTCAAAGTGTAAAATGAGCTGCATTTTTAAACATTCACTGCATCAATCTCAAATATTTATTTTAAGTTGGGTCAACACAAGTTTATATAAGAATATCTAAACCAGCGAGTGCAATACTTGTGTTTTTTTGTTGTTTTTTTTAAATGGGATGAATTTTGTAATCCTAAAACCTCTAAACAGAAACTGAACATAAGAATGTTTAAAAGTTTTTTTTTTTTCTTTTATATTGTGAATTTTAATATTTTAAATTTACCTTCACAAAAGGGGCAGCTCATATCAAAATGCTAGAGGTTGCTTTGTTTGAGGAGTTTGGTGAAAATTCCTGTTTTATCAAAAGATACTCTTGGTTTGAATCTTGGGTGCAATGTTTTTGGGCAGCTTTAAGAATATTATTTTTAGCAGAGACCTCCCAATTGGCAGTAAATTTATTGCACACATTTATGAAGTGGTCAGGCTTTACCTGCACGGATGGATGTATGGGCAAATGGGTGCATAGATGAACTTATTGATGCAACATTTAGACAATGGAACAGGAAACTAAGACTTTAAAACACAACAATCCGTATTTATCATTGTCCACACCTGCAGAATGCTTCAACGAAATCCCAGACTTCTCTAAACTCCATACGAACCCCATAAAAATCATTTCTGACAGCATTCTCACATCCTGCTGTCTTATTCGGACCCCTGCCTCCGACGTGGGCCGCCAACCTCCTACTTAGCAAAAGGGCAAACAGCCCCAGGAGGATCATCCAGCTCATGATGACAGAGAGGAGCTTGTGATGTTGACTGTGCCTCTGTCACCGTGTTCCTACAGACGCTGATGGGGAGCGGTTGCCTAAACGTCCCCCGCCGAGGCCGTTTCCTCATCAGCCTCTGACACGCATACGGCATAAAAACACACAAAGCAGGCACTTTCCATAATAACGGAGACAAATGCTGATCTACGGGCGTGAATGGAGCTGTACACCGAAATCCCCATTAGCAAAACCACTGGACATCGGCTTCATGATATCTTGTCAGTCAGGTCTAATTCTGCATTCAGTCTTAATGGTTCCTGACAAGTCTCTCACCAGTTGACACGGGACCAGAGGGAATGTGCCACAGTGAGCACGACCACTCAGCAAATTCACATTTAGCATTTCATTCCTCCTGCTTGGACAAAATGAATTATTCATTGTCGTTTCGCTCGCACAGATTTATACAGACAAAACTCCCTCAAACACCCAAAATGTTAAATGATTTTTACATACCACCCTCCCAACCCCCCATCTTTTCTGCCCCACTACAAGGGCAGCTCACAGTTCCTACTGTATCTCTGGAAATCTGACATTCTTCCTCTTTATCCTTGACCCCCTTTCCTCACCCCCATGGTTATCTGAAATAATCCCAGGTCCTCCTTAGATTCTATTCATCAGAGCAGAAAGAAGCCGGCACTGACACTGATATATATAAAAAAAATACCATCTGTGCCTCACTTGGGCAAAAAGGACTGAAAGAAAATGAGAGAAAATAAAAAGAGGGGCTTCAAATAAAACTGGCTTTGTTGTGTCCCTCTTGTCCAGACCCCTCCCTAACACCCCCGTTTGCCCCGACCCTCAGCTATTCTTGCCTTCCCGCCCTCCTCAATGCCATTTCAATTGAGAAGCGCAGTGGTAATTAAATTCCAGCAGGGGTTAGGAGCAACTGTGCAGCACGCTGACAGGGGGGCTGCCCTGACATAAAGATGACACAATTCAAGAGGACAGAGAGGGCAGACGCAGAGAAAGGGTGGGTGAGTGTGACGGGGGTGTGTGTGTGTGGGGGGGGTGCAGGGGGGGAATGCGGGTGGGGTGACGAATGTCGTTTATTCACGTACACAGCCAGATTTGGACTTCTCAATCTTCATGACATTTGAAAGAACAAAAAAAAAAATGAAATGGATATTCACTCCCACGGTGACCTTTTCCCCAAATCGGGGGGTTATTCCAGACAGATCAGTCAGCTGCATCTTCGCTATTTGCAGCATATTTTGCAATGCTTAAAAGGATGAGCAATAAAGTGGCGGAGAATTTGGAAAAGCTGTTGTGTGTCTGTGTAACTCGGAGGGACGCCGTTTGTTGTTTATTCACAGCACAGTGATGCTAATCCAGATCCTCCAGAGAGGCCGCACACGCCTGCTGTCCTCCTTTCTGCAACCTTCATTAGCAAAACAACACAACCTGTTAGTCTTTAACTTGATAAATAAAACCACAAAATGATTTAGAGGCTGAAGATTTTCACTTTAAACATCACTTTAGACATCAATTTGTTTTTTTTTTTATATTCAATCTGGCATGCATCAATTTCCAGAACAAATCCTTCATTTGAATTTACAAACTTGTTTTTTTTGTAACTGATGTGTCCTGAACAAAAAAAAAAATCACTCACACAGCTTTATTACATTCACTAAAGAAGTTGTTGACCCTGTTAAAATTATAGAAGTGAGGATTTAATGTTATTAAACTAATCCATTAAAGTATTAGTTTTATCCTGATTCATTAAAACAATATGTGCCACTCTGCTGCCATCTAGAGTACAGATACACCATTGCATGTAATAATTATGCTCCAATGTGCAAAAAGGCCCAGTTGATTAGTGTCAAATACACTAAAAAAAATAAGTTCAGTCAAAAAAAATCAATTGGAAACATTATTTTTTCCATTCTCCCAGTTCCCATTATTTGTTAAGTATATCAAAGGTTTTGAGACATCAACTAGAAGTCCCACAGTGTAAGAATCAGTCCTTTTGGCTTAGCCACCAGTAGGCCTCAGTACCGGTTTAAAACCTCCATAATTTCCTCTTTAACAGAGGAAGGGAAGTGCTGCTGCACACCTGGTCCACCAATACTTGTTTCCCAGCAGTCATAGCCACAGTCCCTCAGGTCCTTCATCGTCCCCTGAAGAGTCGTTGAATCAGTTTCTGCAAATAGAACCAACAATAATGTCAACAGACAAGAAAGGTCAGGCTAAGATGGTTCCATGAAAGCTTCAAATGTTTCTTAGAGAAGATTAATGAATAAACAGCATCATGAAGACCAAAGAGCACAGCAGACAAATTATGGAGAAAGCAGTGGAGACATTTCAAACATGGATCTTCTTGTAAAACAATATCTTAAGTTTTACAGAGCAACTCTCGATCCAACATCCAAAGATGTAAAGAGTATGGGCGAGAACAGGGTTGGGTTATGAAACAATATCCTGAGCGTCAAATATGTCACAGACCTCTGCTCAAATAAAAATCCGAAAGAGTGCGGCACAAAGGGAATGTTTAGTCGAGAAAGGAAAGAAGTAATTCAATTTTTAAAAAGTTGAATAAGTAATCACAAAAGAAAACTCTTGTCAGTTCTAGTGGTTTTAACATCACTGATCTGATTGTTGTTGGGTTTTTTTTTATCACATTTTAAAATGATTTAATTCTTACAAAGTGTGTAGAATGCTAATTTATATTGAACACAAATGAAGCCAAAATGGAAAAAGCTTGCAACAAACTCAAAAAACCATTGATAGTTGTAAAACACCTCACATCCTTTTTCTTTCCATAACAGTCTATCCTCAGGGTGCAGGCGCAGCTCCTACAGACGGAGATAAAATAACTTCTTCTAAGGGCTTTATTATAATGAGCTTTAGAGCAGACAGATGTAAAAGTGTTTAAAATAGCTGCAATTCAAAAACAAAAGCATGAGAAGAAAAAAGTATTTGGAAATCTATTTAGGAGATTGAGAACCTATTAAAATTCAGTAAGCTGCAGGCATAAACAGACTGAACACAGCATTTCTGATTGGTTCAGTGCATGAGCACATATATGTATATGTGCTTTCTATAATTCCTCTCATCATGCATTGTCCTTACAATCCCTACATCTGAGAAAAGGTGGAGAGTGTCTGTGGAAAACAGAACATTTAGTGTCACAGAGAGTTTTCCGTAACTAAAAACTGTTCAACTGAAATTATTAGACAAGTATTTGTAAAGCGAGATGGGCAGAATGGGTTACTATGAACAAGACAAAAAAAAAAAAAAAAACACTCAATATGATTGGCAAAGCTTGCCTTAGAAACACAGAGTATGGAGATAAAAAGTAATTTTCTTCTGGATGGCTGTTTTGAAAAGACAGATTGATTCATTCCATTTTTGCACTGGAATGAATCAATAAAAATTTGGGCTCATCTTGCAGCCAAAGACAGAAGGAATGTTTAGTTGGAAAATGAAAGCAGGAATTCAATTAAATAAATAAAGGAAATTCAGGGGAAAAAAATAATGCAACTTTTAAAATTACAAGCATACCTTAAAATCTACAAAGGACAATATCAAGAGGCATGACATGAATGTTCTGCCGTAGACCCCTCCATTACCTTGAAAATGTTTTTTCTCTGACTGATCTTCTGACGATCAGTGCAGATAAGAAGGCCAAAAGAAATATTAAGAACTAAAAGCAACAACTAAAACACTCTTTTCTCTTGAATTATTTTTCTACCTCAAAATGTCACATTTTTAAGCCAGTCTCAACCATTTCACTGGCTGTCGAAGCAAACCGAGAATTTTACACACTTTTCTATGACATAGCAGCTTTTTAAGCATATCCTCAAAACTGAACATGTACCTTCGTTCTTAGATGACCACAAAACCGCCTGCAAATTTTCCTTAAAATAATGTAATGTTTTCTGGACAGAAAAGATTTGGAATATATCAAACAGATGAGAGACTATTTATAGACAACACAGGAAAAAAAAAAAATGGTGTGAGCACTTTTGTGGGAAAAGTTGGCGAGTTCAGTCTCACCCACTTATTACTCAAAATTTGAGACAATTGAGCATTAGAGTCTGTGAGAAAGAGCACCCCAAATAACCCAGACAGCTGGAGCAGTCAGTCAGTTTTTCAGGTAAGAAAAGGTTTTCTTTCACTGTACTTTCTATTCTCTTTGTCAGATTTCTCCAGATGGCATGATTGAATAAATAAATATTCCATCATTAAACCCAAAATCTGGGATGGACTCAGAGCTGAAAGATAATTAACTGGGTGAGCCTTCAGAGTGGTTTTCTTTATTGGATTTTTGTCCCACACATTTGTTCACCACTGTGACAGATTACAGACAAAATGAGTCTCCTTTGAGGAGCTTTTAAATCAATGGGGAGGTTTCCGGTCTGTTAAGTCTCCAGGCTCCCGTCTCTAAATCAACATTTCTTCTGACTTTTCTTCATAGGATAAAAATCTCCACTTTATGAATTCAAATTCAAGCTGGAGACTTGTTTGGCACTGATGTCACTGTTGATTCGACATAGTAATGTCATCATTCTTTAGTTATTTTCAGTTTTGTTATTGGCTGCCTTTTTTTCGTCCACCTTTATTTATTTTATTTTATTTAAATATTCCCTAATTTCAGACATAGAAATTAATTAAACTATAAGTGCAAACACAGCTGAAAAAGATAAGTAGTAAATTTCATGATATATGCTTGTTAAAATGAGCACAGACGTAGCAAGGTATTAGATAGTTAACCATTTAAATTCTGCACGTTTACAACAGCAAATAAAGAACCATTATTGTGCAGCACCTGGTCTCAGGAGTGTGATGCCACAGCCTCCTCCACCTGCTCCTGTAAGCTTGCTGTGAAGCCCTCTAGCTGCTGTAACCTGGCACACCGTGTCTAAAGAAGGATGCCCTACACCAATCACATTCAGATGATGCTGGTTGATGTCAATTAGCTCCTATAAAATAAAAAAATAATTTAAAAAGCAGTAAAGATACAGGTCATGAGAGATAAACAACAGTATGTTGATGTGAATATTTGCACTGGGGTTCCATTGTTTTCACCTTTTATTTTATTCATCAAATAAAATTAAATTGTACTTCTGACTGCACGTTTTTCAATATCTATATTTTATTTAAATTACAAAAAAAACAAAGTGTACCTCTAAGATGTTATAGTGGTCTCCTGTGATGGGCTCACAAGTCATCTCTGTTAGGACTTTCTCACAGGTGCAGGAAATGGCATCGACCGAATCCAGCACAGGGATCATGATGGAAGGAAGCTGCAGGAGGTCAAAACAAAAACAGGCCAACAACAAAGGCAGATTAACATCTCCCGTACATCTTTTGCACGGGGTTTGTGAAAAAGTAATGTTTTTATGCGTTTAAATTTAGAACTGCACAGCAGATTTCAGTGGACATACTGCACATGGGCAGCACATTTGGCAGGTCTGACTCCGACTGTGTCCAATATTGGCACAACACCATACAAGCCCAATCTCTGTCCAGGGTGGAAAGCTGCACACCTGCTGGTGTCGCCAAGGCAACGGCACACAGGGGTGCTGGCTGAGAGTTTAATTTTAATGTTTTATGGAGGCACTCAACCCCATGCCCTGGAGTATCGGCCACGAAAAAGCACTGCCTATTATATTAATTATAGTGTCGGCAAGTAACACACGGGGGAGGGAAAACCATTTAGTACCTTGTTAATTTTGTCCTTCACCCTGGCAACAAGTACCTTGGTGCTCCGTGGTACTTTGGTGTTAGTGAGGAGGATTCTCAGCAACGGCACCCTGACAGCAACAAAAATTAGAGAGTTCAGTCACCTGATAATCAGAGGATGATTTTCCAGAGGAAGTTTGATTTTTGTTACTAAAAATATAGAGCATATCTTCCTAAATCGACTTATTAACCAAAACATTCATAAGTACTCCAACAGTACCTGCTCAGTGGTATTATCTTTCCAGCTAAAAATCTCAGCATACCACCTATGTGTAGAAAAAACATTTAAAAGATTATTTTAAATGGCGATATTGTAAACTGTTGATAAAATAATAATAGTATAACTACTGGTATTAAAGGGGGAGGAAAAGGAGGGAGTACAACTTCATGCGCCATATGTTATGTTAAACACTTTTCTATCTCACCCCATGTTCCTACAGCATTGTCTACTCCTGAGGGATTTCCGTGGATGATCTTCTCTCCTTGGAAAGCCCAACTGTTGATGAGCTCCAGATCCTCCTGACACCATCTGCAGTCAGTTTACAACAACACAGGGTGCTGCTAAATGAGCAATCACAGAGACAGGTACGCAGTTGTGTGTTAAATTGAATAATTATAGAGGCACTGTTCGGAAGTACTAAGTTTCCCCTAGCGCTCGCACGTGTTTTAAATAATCAAACGACAGTTAATTTCAGATTGAAGCTGCAGTACGCAACTTTTTTATGTATTAAAATTATCATTATGTCATGACAGTATATGAGACAGATAACCTGTAAAAAAAAAAAATAATAATAATAATAATAATAATAAAATTAAGCCAACAATACAAAACTCTTTTCTATCAAATTGCATCAAGCTATTCACTCTGGTCATTTAGAAGTTTTTAGACCAAACCTCAGAGACTAATTGCTCTGTTGATGCAAATTACTGCTGAAGTCAAAATCCCAGCTCATACAATGAAACCTTGATCTTACCTGCCAGTCTGCTCCCACTCTTTGAGGGGAGTGGGAATGTTTCCAGTTGCACAGAGGAAAGCTGCAGCTAAACACACGGAATAAGCAGCACTTGAGCCCAGTCCTGCTCCGGTCGGCAGCTCTGACCACACAGACACCGTCAGACTGGGCATATCTCTGAAAACATAATCATAAAACAATGAGTTGGTGTTTAATTAAACTACATACAAATAAAGCTAAGACAAACAGCAACTATGTTTGTTGTTTTGTTTTAATTTGCTAGTACATCACACACAAACTCAGCTACAGCACTGGCTTTATTTTTATTATAGACCAATAATGCAGTCTCACATAGACTACTTCATACAGCAGAAACAAACTTGACATTTCTGTCTATGTCATTTCAGAGTGGTTGCTTTCAGGCAGACAGAAAAATACTCTAAACTAATTGTCCGGTTCTGCTCTCAAGAGGGAAAACCCATCCAGACTTGTTAAAAGGGTGCAGAGTGGCCCAGTGCCTGACTCTCATTAGTGGCCATCCTGTCAGAAATCCTTCACCTCGCTCTGACACAGCAGCACTGTGTCAGCGCCGATTAAACCCTCCAACAACCTGCAGCTCTAATGTGCCTGAGAATCTTCCCAGCAGCTCGGGCTGCAGAGGTCACCGATCTGTCTCTCTTTACGTGTGTTTTAATTCATCCAATCAACCTATCCATGTCAACAAAGAAATAAAGGACCACATTAAGGTTGTTAACAAAGAAGGAAAAACTCCAGGCCTGAACGAGTGCAATAAACCTCAAGGCGTGTACTCATCACTTTCTTATACATTCATAGCATTTAGCAACATGAGCACAAGACCATATTCATTTACATAGACCATTACACTCCATCAGGTATCCTGTCACCCCTTTAAATCACTGAGTTCAGGTATTGCATTAACTCTCATGGATGCAGACGTATAAAATCCAGCATATAGGCTTGCAGAATGTTTCTAGAAGAAAGAATGGGTTGCTCTAAAGAGCTCAGAGGACTGTAGTCTGGTGCTTTAGTAAGATGCAATAAGTAGAGTCATGAAATTTTCTCTCTACCTACCTAACATTCCACAGTCAGCTGATTGTGGTACTATAACAGGGAAACTCAGATATGTACATTATAGAGCGGGAAATTATCAACCTTCTGCAAAGTCGGGCCTCCAAAGTTCATATGGTCTTCAGATTAGCCCAAAAACAACATGTACAGACCTTGATGATGGGGGGGGGTTTGACATGGATTTAAAATTGTATTGCAACATTTTGTGGTACTACTGTGATATCAATAAAATCTATTTATTAATTCTATTTTAAGTAATTGTTTTAATATTATTGTTGTCAGATTGTACCACCTCTGTCAGAAAACTCTCCACCCGCTAGACATTTTAGATAAGGGCCTTCATCACTCCCCTAATCATATGAAAAAAAATAACACACGTAGGACAAATATGGAGCAGAGTGAACATTTCCTTAATAAAATGTTTCTAAAATATACTTTGCAAACAGACACAGTTGGTAGTTGGCAACATCTGACATTTGCAAATAGCAAAAGCTTAACATTATCACATGTTTTGCCTGTGGAAAGACGGCATGAACATCTATAAGTCATCATTTCGTAGTGACTGGTGCTTTTATTACCATAGATGTCCATGAAATTCAGCAGACCTTAAAAATATGTGAGAAAAAAAAAATCTGATAGTTTTGATGAGTCTTGTTTCTATAAAATGTGAAGAACATTAGAAATATCTCACCCTGATCCAAAAAGTGACAGGTAGATGTAAAGGAAGGCCAAAATTGCTGAAGCGCTACTGTCTAAATTTCCATTGGTCACGCCAATAAATTCACGCAGTCTCTTCACCAGTTCAGCATCCAGACGTTGCATCTCTTCTTTTTTATCTGTTTGTAATATTTTAAAGAAACAGAAGCAATTTAATATGCAGGTGGACAAAACAGACACACATCATTTTCAGCAGTGTATCTATTCTTCAACAAGCTAACTTGTTAATGTGATGTTTTTGTGACCAAAGGGGGCCTCTTTAATTGTCTGTGAAAGAAAATATATCTGAATAGGCAATTCTGAATCTCTTGATGTGATCCGAGTACATAACTAAGCTAAAATCTAAAAGTAAAAATAGTCCATCGGTTTGAAAAAAATGTATCAGTGTGAAAAATCCTCTCTTACCACTTAAAAATGATGTCAGCTGTTTCAGTTCGGACAGCTCCCAGCAGACAAATGTGTCTATATTAGGTAGGTTAATGCAAACTTTGCCATCAGACCTCGCTTTCAACTGCAAATATGTTCTCAGGTTTAAACTTACTGCAAGAGCCACCTGCAACAACAAACATACAAGTCAGTTCACATTTCACAGTACTACAATACTAAAAATCAGGAGTGTAATTAGACCATTTTATATCCAACCCAGCCCTAGTGGTCAGGGTTGGTGGAAGCCCTCATCAGCTTTCCCTCTTGATATTTTAACTTTTAAGACTTTTCTGTTAGTTTTTCCAAAATCAAACAGAAAATTCATAATTCAACTGCATTAGGCTGAGTTGCATTTAACATTTTATGTCTGATTTTAATGCCTTATGAAACAACAGACTGAAAAACTACATATCATGTTGCAACAGTGTTTTAAAATATCCCAATACAAAATAAAGAGTCACAATTGCGACGTGATCAGAACTAGTATGATGTAAATCAAACCTTTTCCCACATAAATTAATATTACCAATAAAAATGCACGAACGTAAAAGCTTTCTAAATGTTATGCTTAGATGACAGCATCCTAGTTTGGTTTTAAATGTGTGTTAGTACCATACCTTTCCATGAACAACAGCATGTTCCCCGTGGAGGATCGCCTTTCCAGGAGCAGAAACCAGACAGTCTCTCACCTCCATCTTTCTGGCAGTTTCACAGCCTGAAATCTTCTCAAGTTCAACTTTTCACTTACAGTGTTACCACAGACAGGCTTAGCTGGCGTTAATCCGCTGAGGTAGCACAAACAAGGCGATAGTTTAAACCTACAAATATGTGGTTTAATTTCATGAATAACAGAATAAAGTTTGAAGAATTTAACAATGCATTTTTGTGACTAGGTCTAACGCTCTGAACACTGACAGTTATCAATGCAGCTAAAAACACAGTTTACACATAGCTACATGCATTATGTGGACAACCCTACGCTTCGCCTCAGGACCCAATCACCGCTTCAGTTGCCTCAACACGTTTCCTTCCGACCAATCAGTGTCCCTAAATCTGCCTACGACAGGATGAGTTGACCAATCGTGCGATGAAAACGAAACGCCTACAAACTACGGACGCGGCTGAGGGACAAAACTCTTCGTTACAAAACAGCGTTCAGTTTTAGCTGCTACTTCGTAGCTCGTTATGACATCGATTATTACCAGACATGCTCTCCTCCGCTGTTTTGTGCGGACAAGGAGGCTCATAAGCGAACATTGGACACCTAAACCGCTGTGTTCTGACAGAAGGTATTTCTTAGCACTGCTTGTGAGCTCACATGTTTACAGTGTTGTTTCTTCTGACTCCTGCCACTTACACCAGCACAACAAATAGCCCCTAAAACTATATTCTGAGTCATTATTGCATTCATATGATTTTATTCTTGCTCATAAACAATACCATCTTAATTATTTTTCTTTTCTCCTACAGTTATGCCACTGAAGAAGTCAAGTCACCTAAAATATACACCAAAACTGGAGATAAAGGTAAGTCAACTCAATTAAGAAGACATCTTAATGCTTTGGTTTCAACCATATTTGAAGTATAGACTGCAGAAATTTGTGTGATTTCTTTTATGTACATGTATGTTTGAAAGCCACATGATCTGCATATGTATTTGTGTCTTATAGGCAAAATAAAAGCATGTGAATGTTGTGACCCAGACTCTCCTTTCAGTTAAATTAGTGTATATGTTGGCATTATACATTGTTAAAAATGTGTCTAAAAAAAAAAACAATCGGGATGAGAGCTCAGCTGTTCAAATCTCAGTAATAAAGAATGTCAACACAATTTGAAAACAACAGATGCTTTCTATTATGTTTATAAAGACTACTATTTTGTGTTGGTCTATCAAAAGAATCTAACAAAAAATCCCAAACATTTATGGTTATTTTTTTTAAGGTAATAAGAAAAAACTGACTAGATTCCTGATTTGCAGGTTTCTCCAGCACATTCACTGGAGAAAGGAGGCCAAAGGAAGATCACATTTTCGAAGCTTTGGGAAATACAGATGAGTTGTCATCAGCTATAGGGTAAATTATGTATTATTGCACTATTAAATCATTGTATGCACATGGATATTTAAAGCACTTTTGTCAGACAGTAGAAAAACTGCATAAAATTATGTTATCAGAAAAGAAAAATAACCCTGCATGCAATGCAGAACTGCTTCGGAGCTCAATAAAAATGCAAATTCCAAAATAGAAAACAAATGAAACTTTAAGGGAAATAATGTTCCATGAAAATATTGCTGACAGGGTGAGAGGATACTAATGTAATGCTTTTAACATTTCAACGAAAGAATTGTGAATTGTTTTTATATTTAGAGTTACTACCAATATTTTAACATTTTTCTCTTTCAAGTGAGGTTCTACTAAACATGCAGAAAAAGAAGTATTAACTAAAACTATGTTGCTGCAATTTACAGGGGAAATGCGAAAGTCCTTAGTGGTGAAAATAAATCTCAGTTTCAGTGAACCTTAGTTTAAGTGGAGTTGGTGACATGCTGTGATTGCTGAAAAATATCAAATACAAGATGTACTTTTGCAGCTGTGGACAAGAATTAAAAAATGCAAAATTAAAATATAAATCAGTGCATTTGCTGAAAATATTTAAGTATGTCTGACTCACTTTTGTATCCGACTTTACAGTTTGGCACGAGAGTTTTGTCTTGACAAAGGTCACACGTTCACAGATCAGCTGGATAAGGTTTGATTTTCACGTCAAATTTATTTAATGTGCTGAAACTGGCCTGCACTCTACTCTTCTGACAGACCGAAGGCAGAGCACAGGTTAGTTTCAGCACAAAACGTTCATTAGATTTAAAGAGCAAGTAATCAACATGCATTAAAGACATGTTATTTTATTGCAGATCCAGTGTATTTTACAAGATGTGGGCTCCAATATTGCTACTCCTCGATCATCTGCAAGAGAAATCCACAGAAGTATGCAAATACAGGCTGGTGTGATCTCGTTATTTTTCATCACCGATGTAATTTTTTTTTTTTTTTTGTTTTACCAGAGAGAACAAAGTTCAGTCCTCAGCCAATCACTGATCTGGAAACATGGATCGATCATTTTACAGAGGAACTCCCACCGCTGACCAACTTCATTTTACCTGTAAGCATCTTTTCTTCTGTAGATACTGAATGTTCCTATGAATGATTAGGTTATTCATATTTGTATTTTACAGTCTGGGGGGAAGAGCAGCGCAGCTTTGCACTTAGCTCGGACAGTCTGTCGGAGAGCGGAGCGCAGGTCAGTTTCACCACACACAGTTGTGATCAAAAAATAATAATCAGTTCAATGTTGCTTAACCAGATCCATCATTGCGTTTGGCATGATTTATATCTGTACATAGCAAATTAAGTACTAGGTCTAGAAAACCACCAGATCATGACATGCATGCTTCTGATTCCATGTTACAAAATATGTCATGTTAAAACAAAGGAAATGCTTTTGAAATGGTTATTTTAATATAATGATAACCTCAAATCTACCAGTAAGAGAGCAGCATCTTAGTTCCAGACCAACAGGATTGCTAAGGGGTTACAACCACATTCCTCATTTCTTAAAATCAATGGTTGTGCAATTAATTAATTAATGAGGAAACCTATATTTTCAAACTTTATCAGTTTTATCAGCAAATGTGAGAAAAAAAACAAACTGAATATAAATTGTTCCTCACCCTCTGAGTCGTGTTTGATAAATCTTTATTTTAGAATAGCGTTCCCAATGCATTCACTTGTGTATTTTGCGTTTTACAAGCTGTTTAAACCCAACTGTTTGTGGTTTAAGTGTTGCTTTGCAGCCGAGGTCCTCCAGGACCCATGTCCTGCATATTTCAGATGTTTCTCTGCTCCACCACAGCTAATTTAAATGTCTTGATTCCTCAGCAGGTCGCTAAGCTCTGTAGGAGCGTTCCAAAAACCTATTTATTCAATTCAGGTGTGCTGAACCAGGCTAACATCTAAAACATGCAGGGCACAGAGATTTAGACGATATGTTATTCTTATTTCACTGCTACTGTGTTTTCTGACAGCTCTGTGTTTTTCTGCACAGTGTTGCTCCAATTGTGCGTTCAGGGGAGGCAGATCCAGATGTTGCAAAATTCCTCAACAGGTCAATATTTAAAGTATCTGCTTTAAAAAACGCGTACCTTTCTTTCAGATTAAACATCTGATGAAAGTCCAAACATTATTATTATTTTTTTTTTTTGCATTCAGGTTGAGCGACTACCTGTTCACAGTTGCCAGATACGCAGCCATGAAGGAAGCCAAAGAGGAGAAGATCTACAGGAGACCTGAATGAACACGCCTGTTAAATAGAGTCTGCATTTGTTTCTACAGTGATGGATTCCAGTTGTGTTTTCAGTTCAGTGCATTCTTTCTTAAATATCACACACAAGACAAAATAAACCAGCTAAGCAGTACATGTACATCAAAAGTTTGAATTTTACACAGTATGCTCAGCAATTCATCAAATAAACATAAAATAATTTAAATTAACCTTTTGATTCCACATTGGTTATATTCTCAGTCTGATTAGAATTAGTTTTGATATTTCCCATTATAGTTTCTCCTCTTGCAGGTTAATGAGAGCATTTGAGACAGTCACATGATCTGGCACCAGCCCTGGCTCTTCTGGGACAGCGTGCAAGCCCATGTCATTAGAGATAGATTGCGGTCTTCATAGGGTGGGTAGCGCAGATACGTGACGCATTCGAACCGCGTCCCTCTAAGCAAGCACGCTTTTCTGTGTGAGAACGTATCGAAGCTGTAGCGACCATGGAAGGACCCCATTCCACAGGCGCCTTCAAGAAAATGTTTCATTGAATCGTTAAGGCACTGTTACTTTTTCTTCTTTTTTTTTATGTCATTGTATGTGACATGACACACTCACCCACTCCACCAAATGGCAAAGCCACCATCAGGCTCTGAAAGATGCAGTCGTTAGAGCAGAAGCTTCCGCTGGAGGTCTCACTCATGAGTCTGGAAATGACCTGCGGTACGAAGAAGGTCAACGCATGATCACAATTTACTCTGAGAAACTGAAGAAGTAGTTAGCCTAGTTAATGTCAGGCCTTTCCACGTTTATCACCAGCCTGTTTAGTTAATTACAAAACTTGTTTTAATGATCGCTGTCCTGTTGGCATTGCCTAGCAATATTTAAGAATCGCTCACTGCTGAATCACGAGTGTCACTATTTAAAGAGAAATGCCTCAAGTAGGCAGGAAAAAAAAACTTCCTCCAAAGTTACAAACTTCAAGCCTGACTGAAAATTGCCTTGTCAACACGGCCGAGCAGAATGCTGCCTGGAGAAATATTTTACGGTTAGATACGGCAGAGAAGTTACGAGAAGTATGTCTGAATTAGTCAGTGAGAGGCTTTCAGGCCTTTATAGCTCAAATTGTATTGCCATTTTGCTGCCAGTGTGTCATAAGAATAGAAGACGACCTTACAGTTCATCAAAATTATCTCAAATAAATCTAGAAAGCAGCTATTTGGATCAGTTGGATATTTCTTTAGGACATTTATTTCAAATATCAAAACCAGACTTGGAAATAGTAAAGCAGGAACAAAGGAAAAGTAAATATAAAATGTACGTGTGCGACAGCTGTATGTAAACTTTTGACCAGCACTGCATCTCCACTTGTTGTGATGTACCTTATTGTTGGTGGAGTATGCATAAACACAGAGGGGCTTCTCTTGCTTATTAATAAAAGCAATGGCTTCATCCACGTCATTTACAGTGAGTATTGGGAGAACCGGGCCGAAGACCTCCTGTTGCATGATGGGGTCCGATTCTGCCACTTCTACCAGAACTGTTGGGGCTTCAAATGCAAGCAAAGAGCCTCATCGCATTGTGCATACATACGTAGGAAGTGTTTTATAAAAGGTCAAGGAT